GGCGATATCTGAAGATGATATAGATGAACTAGGTTTATGTGATGATGCGTTATAAGAAGTATATCGACTTGTAAGGATGTTGCTGTCACTGTTAGGTTGACTAAATGATGATTTATTAATTATTGGTTTACATTTGTTTTCAATCTCTTGTTTTTCCTGTGAAATTTTGATAATAGAATCTTGTAATTTAGATATTGTTTTCTCAATATCATTAATAGTTTGATCACGAGAAGCCTTTTCTGCTTTTATTCGATTCGTTTCTTCTTCCAATCTTCCAGGGTCTATAACGCCACTTCCACCATTGCCTCCAGTGAAGCTACTAGTAAAAGAATATGGTTTACCAGCTAGACGAGCTTGTATCATCGCTTGAGCTTTTGCTTTAATGTCAAGTTCACCGTTACTACTCCCACGTAATTTAAAAAATTCTATTTTTAATTCTGCTATTTTTGTATAAATTTCATGAGTATCAGAAATAAGATCTGGTATAACAGTGGACAACATATTAAGAAGTTCAATTTCTAAATCATTGTGTTGATCCAATAAAGATTTTATTGATTTTTTTTCATTGTTATTTTTTTGCGCAGAATCAATTTGTTTTTGAATATCCTTAATTTTTATTTTCAATTCATTAATTTCATCATCATTGTTGTTGTTGAATGCTAAAGAATTAAAAGAATTTGAGTTGTAATTTGAACTTTCTGAAAATTTTAAAGCATCTAATATATTTTCTTTATCTTGAATTTGTTTTTTTAAATCTGCTATTCTTTTTGATGATGATGATGATGATGATAACCTATCTTCACCAATAGATGATGGTCGTTTGAAAGTAGAAGAATATGATGGTAATGATGATGATGAGGAGTAAGATGAATATGAAGAGGAAAATTCAGAATCGTTATTACGTGACGACAGTGATGTTGAGGGAATTTTATATCTTGACGAAGAGACGTAACCAATATCATCATCTTTATGTTTATAATTTGTTGCATCGTTATGACTAGTTACTGGTAAATTAGTAAAGCTTCTTGATTTCAAATAATAATTGTTGGAACCACCACCAGTGCCTAATTGTTGATTATGAATATCAGACGCAAGATAATTTTTGAGCATGTCCACACTTTCTGTCAAATCTCTCGTCGAAGGTGGTATAAGTTCAGCAGTAAGTGTGGTAGGAATTTCATAACCATTAAGTTTTCTATAAATCAAATGCATTGCAACAGCAAATTCATCTTGATTTAATTTTCCATTATTATTTGGATCAGATAAATGCCTTGATTTTATATTATATATATTAAATAATATTATTATAATTTTTTTTTTTTAATTTAAAAAAAATTTATATGTTTACAACATACCATATCTGCATTAAATCAGTTTGAGGTAAACCAGATTGTAAAAAAATTTCTCTTGCTTTATCACCAGTTAAATAACCTAAACCTGTAGAATCCCATTGTTTAAATATTTCTTTATATTGAGCTTTTTCTTCTGGGGTAACAGCCCAAGAGATTTTTGCATTTCCTTGTATTCCAATAGTATTATATTGTTGTTGCGGAGTTTGTTGTGGTAACATACGTTGAGTAAAAGGCAACATCTTGAATATCAATCTGTTGTTGTTTTTGCTATTGTGATGATGATAAAGAAAGTGCAGTTGTTGATAAAAAAAAGGGTAGTGAAGAAACTATCAATCAAATTTTTAAATATTTATTTTAAGATCGACTTTACGCATTTTTCCATTTAAAAAAAAATTTGTGCATGCAATTACAATCAAAAAAAAATTACGCATTACAGTCAAATAAAAAAGTTGCACGTATTATTGAATTGATGAATATAATAAAAAATGTCATTTGGTAGAACACCCAACATTGATATTTACAAAATAACTCCACCTGAACGTGGAAGTTTTCCTTTGGATCATGAAGGTAATAATATTAAAATATTAAAATATTAAATATTAAATTGTAATTAAATATAAATATAAATATTATATTAAAGGTGAGTGTAAAAAACTTATGTTGGAATATTTAAAATGTTTAAAACAAAATAATGGAAATAATGGAAATTGTAGGCATTTATCAAAATCATATTTAAAATGTCGAATGGAAAAGTAAAGTTTTGATTGATTACTTGTATTTTTATTTATCTGTTTAATTTTTCTAATGCTCTTTATTTTGTTTTTTATGAAAAGAGGGTTAATGCTTTCTGACGACATGAAAAATCTTGGATTTCATGATGAAAGTAGTAACAATCAAATTATATAGTCGTTACTGTATTAAGAAATAAATAAAGTAAAATAAATAAATAAATATTATCACAAAACATCTAGTTATCTAGTCAATAATCATTGTCACCATTATCACTATCATTGTCGTTTTTTTATCAGAGTTAATTTCTTCACCAAGGAGTTTCTTCATCAGATATTCCTCTTAACATCACCTTTAAATACATTGGCATTTCAGAACCTTCCAACACATTTAATGCAACATGAATTACTTCTTCTCTACCATTAAATTGTCTCAAAACATCTACACATTCACAAATTCCTTGTCTTAGATACATTTCCCCAACATCTCTATTCATATATTCTGGTCCCATACGTTTTTGATCGCAAAGCCACATATTCTGTGGCGGAATGTATTTACTAAATCGTCGAAGATATGGTGCCATCCAACGTATAACCAACTCCCTTGAAGGCGTCACTGCCTCGGCCAAACACTCGAACAATTCTGGATTATATGAAGATGGATTTAACAGTGTGACAAATGCATCCATGCCACACGAAGAAGTAGGTGATTCATCCCATTGTTTAATCACTTCTTTCTCATTATACGAGGAAGAGGAGGAGGAGGATTGTTGTGGTGAACTATTATTACCATCATTTACTCTTCTTGTGTTCATGTTTGTTGTACGTTTTTTATATTGTATCCATAAATCAACTCCAACTGTAATATTTGACTTTAGAATAAGTAGAAAACGACTTTCTTGTGAGTCATTAGGTGCTGTATACACATTAATTAAGCGTTCTATAAATCTACGTGTGTCAAAAGTCATTTTATATTTAATTTAAATTGTAAATTATAAAGAATGTAAAATGCCATTAATTAAAAAAAGTAAATAAATATGAAGAAAAAAAATTTAACTTTATTAACGTGTTACATAACTTTTTTATTCTATATAATTCGTAAACAAAAATCCTTTTTGTTGTTAATTAAAAAATTTTAGTATTAGAAGTTACACTAATTTAATTCTGTTCTTTACTTTAGATTAAAATAATAATAAAGATTTTGATCAAAGAACTCCCACACCATGAATTCCCTGGAGGATACCCCACCCGACATTTTAAGTAAAGAACATGCCGAGTTGGAAAAAGAAAACGAAGATCTTATTATACAGCATAAGGAAGTAAATTCAGAATTATCAAATAAAAATACTCAAATAATCGAATTAGAGAAAAAAATAAAAGATCTAACAACCGAACGTGATGATCTTGTCAAAACTAAAGAAAGTTTGATTCAAGATTTAGAACATGTGCAAAAGAAATCACTAGAATCTCGTACACAATTGGATGACGAATTACATTTGATAAAAGAGAAATTATCTAGAACAGAAAAGAACTATGAATTGCTTGAATCTGACAATGCTAGTCTTCACTTAGCAAAAACAGATGCTCTAGAGAAATTAGCTACAACAGAAAAGAACTATGTCTTGCTTGAATCCGACAGTGCTCGTCTTCATTTAGCAAAAACAGATGCCCTAGAGAAATTATCAGATGTAGAATCTAAAGTTAAATATTTGTCACAAAGAGAACGTGTTCTCCAAGAATCATTAAGTGAAGCAAATAAAACGATTCAAAGTCACGAAGCAGAAATTGAAAATCTTAAAAAACAAGTAGCCGAAGAGGAAGATAAACGTAATAAATCACTTGCTTTACTTAAAAAGACCCAACAAAAAATAATAAGCCTTGAAAGGGAGAAGAAGGATTTAAATGAAGAAGTTGGACGTGCTCAAGATAATGCACGAGCATCAGAGCAAAATGTAATTTCAGGCTTGAAACAAGAGATTGCCAAATTCAATAAGGAATTGAATGCAAAATCAACACAAATCGTTCGACTTGAATCTTTAAATGAAAAAATATCAGAAGAAAAACAGGTATTATTTGAGCAGTTACAAATTAGACAAGCAGAATTTGAATCATCACAAACAACGCTTGAGAACTTCGAACATCGTTCAAATGAAATCCAACATCAAATGAAAGAAGCTGAAGAAAGATCACAAGCTTTAGAGGAAGAATTGGTTTCAATTAAAAAAAAACATAAAGAAAAGATACGAGAGAATGAAAAATTAATGAACGATATTGAAAAGATGGAACATGAATCTAAAGAAAAATTTAGAGTCATGGAATCACAAATTGAAACTTATAAAGAAGAAAAAGAGAAAATTGAATTAGAATTACGAGAAATTAGGCAATCATTTGATTCTAAAGTACAAGATTTAATGAATAGACTTGATTCTAGCGAAGCGGAAACAAAAAAATTGATTGTAAATTCTAAAGAGAAAGATTCTACTATTGGACTATTGTCAAAAGAAAATCAAACATTTAAGAACAAAATACAAGATTTAGAGAAAGAAATCAAAAATATGCAAAATGAAGTTAATAACGCACAAGAAAAATCAGTAAGTTTTATAACTTTTAAATTGTTGATTTTAGAAAGTAATTACATGAATATTATGAATATTAATAATTTTATTTTTTATTTTTGAATGAATGACATTCAGACAAAATATAATGAATATGAAACAACAATACGAAATAATAAAGAAGAGTATGAAAAAACGTTGGAAGATTACCGTATGAGAGAAGGTCATTTAAAAACAGTTAATAAAGTAATTTAATTTAATTCATGTTATTGTTGTTGTTGTGTTATTATTTTTGTATGAAACTTTTTTATGAATTAAATTTATTATAATGTTAGACACTTAGAGAAGAAGTTCGAAAACTTCAAAAGGTGTCTACAAACAACAACAACAACAATGATCGCAGCACACCAACTTCACCATCATCGCCTACTTATCCACGTCACTCAATATCATCCGCAACTTCACCTTTGGCTGATTCAGGATTCTCAAATTTAGATGATGATCTTAAAGTTAATTATTTTAAAGACGTATTTCTCAAGTTTCTTGAACATAGAGACAAAAGAGTATGTAATTTTATTAATTTATTTTTTTATTTATGAAAGGGTTTTTTGTTAATTAATTAATTTGCAAATATTACTTTAATAGAAAGCACTTTTGCCAGTAGTTTCTACATTATTCAAATTATCACCTGAGGAAAAGAAAAGACTTGAACTTAAATATGGAAGATAATTTATTTAATCAATTAATTCCATTTAGAATGTATATTAAAATATTATTAGACAATTATATATAACATTAATATAATAATAATTTGTAAATTTTCTTTTTTGTTTTTTAATATTCATTTTTATTAAATTAGTTATTAATTTATTAGATTTTAAATTGTTCACTTGACTTTATAATAATATTATTATTACTATTAATATTATTACTATTAATTAATTAAATCTTCTTCATTCATTTTCCCAATTTTTTCAATTGCTGCTACAAATTTTTTACTAACAATAGATTTTCTACCATCAATAATATAAAATGGGTTACATACTCTATTTATATACGCTGTATGAATTTTCCTAAATATCTTTTTTTTTTTTTTTTTAATAAATCAAGATTAAAATTAGATAGAGAAAAAAAAATTTTGTTTTAACGAAACAATAACATGAAACATACATTTTTCATATCAGAATTCTTAATAACTGCGTCAGGTACCGATAACACAACAACAAATTTTACACGTGTGTTTGTTATAAATCCATATCTAATAAATGAATAATTAAATAATAAATTTTAAATGATTTGTTCTAATGAAAAGAATTAGAAGATGATGGCGATAATGATAACAACAAACGTAACCACTACTCACACAGCCAAATCTTCCATTGCATATAATAATCCAAGGTATGTATCAGTTGCTTCCGATCCAGCACTTACTAATAATAATAGCAAAGATTATAATGATAATTAATTAATATCTCCAAAAGAAATTATTCCTCTTCATAATAATAGTAATAATATTCTAATAATTTAGAAATTTTACTTCTTTCTTCAATTACATCACATGATGTATGTGCTATATAATGATATTTTAAGTCGGGATGTGTGGTGCTAAAATTTTTAATATATAAAGGATTATTCTTTTAAGGATTTATAAAAAAATAAAAATAAATCATATATTTTTTTATCTTATTAATTCTATTTATATTTATATTTTAAAAATTGTATCAATGAAACAGCATATTGATTTAAGGAAATTGTAACCTACTTTATAATTAATAATTGAAATACATTGAATTTTAATATTGCTCATGTTTTTATTAGAATTTGACGCAAAGAAAAGAATTATCTAATTGTTGTAATACCTTTTTTTTTCTAAATAAATGAAGTCGACTGTTGATCTCTTTTTTTCAATAATAATAATAATAGTAACACGGGAAACATGTCGTTTCTTAATCTTAGTTGGTATATAATTAATTCGACTGCTAACTTTATACTTGTACAAAATAGGCTAGGAATTATAAATGTAAAGAGTAAATTATTATCTCACGTTTAGAGGTTAAATCAACAAACTCGGACATATCGATATTTCGTTTTAATACAATATATATCTATATCTATATGTCGTGTGTGAGAGGTCATTAGATTGACATGATAGATCGTTATGGTTACATAGACGGTCTTGAAACTTATGGAATATTAATTTGTGGTAAGTTATCATTATTACCTATTAACTAGATATAAATTTAACAGAAAATGCGATTAGAATATTTACGATGGACTTGGTTTTAATCTAAAATCAAAAAGTATTATTACCAACAGAAAATGCAAACTTTTTGACCATCATTACTGACCTTTTACTCTTTATTCTGTAACATCTAAGCAAGTTGCTTCATAGTGGAATTTTTAACTATTCTATTTGTGCAGGAAAGAGTGAGATCTAATGTTGCACCACAACAACATTCATCTTGTGCCTCGTATAGCCGAAAGTCAAATACATATCCTCAAAAAGTATACACACCAGTTATTGTTAATATTTAACTCGAAATCAAAGAAACGATATTATATATAGAATTGCTTATGTTTTTATAAAGATTTGATTTTTATTAAATTGAATGTATCATTATAAGAAAACGTTTTAAATCGAATATTGCAATCATTAATATTTTTGCTGTTGTTAGTTCTAACAAACATGTAACATGGATGTATATATAACCGTGTGTTTTTCTGCAAAGTCATGATATCATGGATGACTGGAAATTTTTTTATACAAAAAAAGGTCACTGTTGAATCGCATTTCAATCCATCACAATTGATGTTCAAGTTTTTCAGAGAGCTTTGTTCTACTCAAAACCGTTTGATTGGATAAATGCGTTCTCAAGCTAGCTTTTTTAGTGCTGCTCAATTCTTGTCAACCTTTTTTGTTATTGCAGTATTGTCGATGACGATGGTGATAACTGGATACGTAAATCATTCTCGCCTGGTACCAATTTGCCAACTGTTGAAATTGCGGTTCTTTTTAGATTGTCCTTGATGTATTGGAGTTTAATAAATAAACCATTTATATAAATACATTCATTTTATCTAATATAGTTTATATGCTAGTTTAATTGCAAAAGAAAATTTTTTCACCTAGAATTGATAGGATACGATGCCAATATATTCGTTTCCGAAATTTTTTGTTTCGTTGACTCCGTTGTACATAGATTCTTTTCATTCAAACCAATGCTCATGTAGTCGTCGTTGTCATTATTGATGATGGTATTAGTATTATCGTCATCGACATTATCATTAACGAAAAAAACCTTGGTCGATTGTATTAATGTTAGCTAAAAAGCAAATGAAAGAAATTCAACATTATGAACAAATCTCGAGCAGTTTTATGGTAATGAAGATAAGGGTTCCAATAGTGAAAAAAAATGATGAAAATGATAATGATGAAGGTAATGAATTCGATGAAGATGAATTTGGAGCAAGCATTTGTACAAAGTTTACAGAATGAACAATATAAATGTTTTAGCATATAAAATTTGTGTTTAATCTTTTTAATTTTTATGCCATTAAAATTTTTTTTTATAAATAGAAAATAATAAGATATTTTAATATTTTTGACAACCATCTCCTCCATAGTCTGTATGACATTATCGATCTGAAACTTTTTTTCTTGGTCACCACCATCACCCCTACAAAACTTCTTAAAAATCATTTATTCGTATTCATCAACTTCGATCCCGAAAATCACAGTAGGTTACTTGCTTTAACTAATAACACATTATTATTACTAGTCGGATGGTTTTTAATTATAAAATTAAGATTAGTTAAATATTTTCTGTTAGAAAAAAAATTTAAAAGGCCCAAAAATCAATAGTAAAACCAAGTTCCAAGTTAATGTGTTGGTCATGTACAACATAAATCATTTCTTTTATCGCCTGCGGACAAAAATATCAAAGAGCTATTTTCTAACAAGTTTTCTTGTCAGGATATTATGTGGCTTTTTTCAAAGTCGCATGGCTTGGCATTATTGTTGCAAGTATTTATTGCAATTTAAATAAATGTATTTACATAACCATCACGGGTATTGTTACAAGGAAAGGATTAAACAACAAAGAGAAATTATATTTTATTTTGATTCAAACAGTACATAATAATTTATACAAGATAAAACAACCAGAGCAATTACATGGAGAAGGAAATACTCGTATACTATTTTTTTTGATTATCATTATCAATAATAATAAGATCACTATTAATATTAATATCTTCTGTTCATCTTCTTTATCATCCTCTTCCTTTCCATCACCTGTTTTATTCTTTTTCTATATTGAACTTCTCGTATATTTCTTTCTCTTTACCAGTTTTCCTAATTTACCATCCATCACTTCAATCAAATAATATGGGCAAGCAACAAGACTATTTGATGATTTTAATAATTTGAAGTTTAGAACTCTCTTCTGGAACGTATAAAGGAAGTTCTCTTTTCATTCGTTGAGAAATGCCTAATTTCTCATGAAATAACTTTTTATTTATTATAATAAAGAAATCTTTAATTTAATGATTATTATCATACATATTTTCTAATATTGTTATTAAAGTGTTTACAATCTTTTGCAAAAAGCAAATTAATTACAATTATATAAATAAATACATCATACTTTTATATTTATATATAATTAGATAATATCAATAAAAATTTTGCAGTTATATCAACTATATCATTTCCAGATGTCCAAGTGTTAAAAAGACTTTGCAAGTGTAGACTAATACAAAATCTATTTGAATATTTTGTTGGTTTGCCTCTTTAAATTTTTTTTGTAGGTATTGTGATTTCCTTCTCCAAGTCAGCATTTCTTCAGGTGATAATATCGAAGTTGTGTTTCTTGCTTGCCTTTGAACAATTTCTACAAGGTTAAACGAGTTTAACTTCTGGTTAGAATGTTTCAATTCTCAAATTTGCAATGGAGATTACAAAATTGTAATAAGTATATATTAATATAATAGTAAGAAAAAAATTATTTATTATTTTGCCCCTTAAAAATTTTTTTTAAAAAAAAAAACCAATTGTTTGAATGGTTTAGGCAACAAAAAGATCAATTGATTGGTTAATTAATTGGGTAAATTGATTGGTTGACAGATTTTTTCTTCCTCCTTATTATTGGCGCTCGTCGTCGTCTTGCATCGATATTAGAATATATTAATGTTTGATCATTGATTTATTTATCTTTCTACATATATTACTCTCGCTAAGAAATATTTACTCATATAACATATTCAATCACCAAATTCGCCAATTTAATTCTAAACGGAAAGTTTTCAACAAATATCAGAGACTAGATTGATGGCGAGAACAAGAATAAGAAATAATAATGTGGCAATGATACTAACTTGATACTCTTATAGTCTCTGGAGTAAACTTACCTTCAATTAATTAATAACAGTAGTAAACTTTGCATAGTGGAATATTATTATTAAATATTTAAATATAAATGATCTCAAATATGTAGTTGATCAAGTTCATTAAAAAACAAAACATTTAATTATTGTTTATTAAAATTGGTGTGTCATCTATGTTTGGAGAATTTGTATTGCTATTATTACTATTACTATTACTATTACTATTACTATTACTATTACTATTACTATTACTATTACTACTATTATTATTATCACTATTATTATTGTTGTTACTATTACTATTGTTGTTGTTGGTGTCAATATTGTTGTTATTATTATTAACAGTATTAGGATCTTGAATCAAAGTGTTTATTTTAACATTTAGAGTATTTGAAGGTGGTATGTATGTGGTAGATGTGGTAGATGTTAATGCTAATGATAATGTTGACGATGATGATGATGATAATGAAATAGGATTTAATACAGGTGTTGAAATGCTGTTATCTAAAGATGATGATGAACCATTATTATTATTATAATTATTATCAATAACATTAGTAACATTATTATTCATATTATTTATAATAATGTTGGATGTTGCAACGGAAATATTTGTGTCATTTAATGAATTTATACCACTCCTCAATCCATAAAGATATCCTCTTTTTATATAATTTATTTTAAAAGAAAAAATAATTAATAACAGCAGCAATGATTATTATAAACAAATAATATACTAGACATACAAGTATTTATTATCATCAATCTTGTCATTAAAAAAGGTTTGCCGCATCTTGAAGAAGGTTGTTGCTGTCAAGAGACTGTCACTACCAGCCTGATGTTGAGATCCAATTCTTTCCACCTAATTTAATAATAATTGATAGAAAATTTAGAAAAATCAAATTCATTTATTCATTTTATTTTATTTTATTCTGTTCTACCTGTAAATCATCAGCAATGTCCTGTAATCCACCTTTAAGACTTTTATGGCTTTTCATAAGGTATTTTATATCATATATACATGGAAAATATGTTTTTAAAAGATCAAAAAAATCATTTTCTTCAGGTGGTAGAGGTGAACAAGTAAGTACTTTGAGTAAATATCCAAAGTCATAACCACTACAAAAACATATGATAATGATTTTTTTTTTCTTTTGAGGTTTGAAAAAAAAAATTTATTTTTTATGGAATACCTGTGAAAAGATATCCATTTTACATCATCAAATAATACAAATCCTGAACTAATTAATAATTCACCAAAATGTTCTACATCTATACCATAATCTTCATGTTTCTTAAAGTCGATACCTGATTTTGTTAACAGATCAATCGAGTCTTGAGCATACATGTCACCTCTAAGAGTATTTTGGAATGGATGATAATAATAATAATAATATTCGTATTAATATGTGTATATATATATATATATATATATATATAAGTTTAAGTTAATTTATATTTTAAGTTGTTTTTGATATTACAAGTATTAGTCGACAATAAAATACGCACATCAAATTGAATTTAAAGTTAAATTGCCATGTACAAATATCTTGTGGTAGTTTTCCATTCTCATCTGCAAATGTGATACCTAGTTGAATTATTTTTAATAAATCAACATTACATCTGAGAGTTTGGTAATGGTAATCTGAACTAGAACGAAAGCTGCCAATTGGTCTTGCCACTACACCAGGAAATTCAGTATCCTGGAACCAGTTAATAACAATTTGTATACAAGTAAGTAGCTAAACAGGTGTATATTTTTATATAAAAAATAGATGATACCATTGCAAGATAAGGATAATCTTCAACCAGATCACGAAGATAAGTCATCTCCTCTTCCAAATTTCCTGCCCATACTTCTCTAATGTATTTACTTTCATTACTACCAAGCATGATAATAATAAACCAAAAAGTAAGTAGGCTTGGTGCAACTAAATCATATGTATGATGAGCTTACCATATTTAGTAAGTAGGTTAATTGACGATTTTATATATATGATTTTTACTGCCATTCACGAAAATTCATTTTTTGCTGCAAAAAATCACTTTGTTATGAAGCATCAGTTCACAACCTATTGATCATGTTCTTTTTTTTGCAGCGAAACAAAGAATCGGCTAATAATTGTATTTTGGCATTTAACAGTTGATTGATTTAATTATTATCTGTTACGATTTTGCCGATCGGTTTTTTGATCCGATAATAACAATCGATTGTGATTAATATTAACATCTCTAAATATTATGATTGCATTTAGCAATTGATGATATTGAAGAAATATGTGTGTATCTGAAACAAATGAAAAATTAATTAGTAAATAAATGATGGCAACATATGAATATATCAATTCGTAAAATCCATATATTTTATTATTATACTGTATATGTAATTAATAAAAATTTTGACATTATAATCAAAAAAATTTCTATCAAAAATATTATTGTTACTAAACAAAATGCAAATTTCTCTAAAACCCTTACCGGTGTAAAAGGCATCACCCTCGAAATCGAACCAGACACCATTGATGGAATAAAACAAAATCCAAAGACAAGGAAGATGTCTCATCAGACCAGCAGAATTTACTCTTTGCAGGAAAAAAATTAGAAGGCAACTTTGCTCTATCGGACTATAACATTCAAAAAGAGTTCACACTTCAATCGGTGATTGATAATATGAAAATTTTCGTCAGAACACTCGCTGGTAAAGCCACCATCCTTAAAGTCAGATCATTTGATACCATGGACGCTGTAAAACTAAAGATTCAAGACAAGGATGGTAATTCCACCAGAACAGTAAAGGTTATTTTTTGTCGGAAAACCATTAAAACTCCACCTTATCATTCTTCATCTCCACGATGGTCAATATATAGTTATAAATAATCATTTAATTTTTATTATTTTTAGTGAATATATGTAAATATAAGTATTTTTTTTTATTACGTTTTGAAATTATCAATGATGTTTATTTATATTTTAAAGGCACAAATAGCATCATCATCTATGAAAACTTTTTGATAAATAATATATTAACTAATTGGATCTTTATAAACAATCTTTTTATGGCTTCAACCAAATTTTATTATATATATATATATATAAAACAAATATACATATTTTTAAAGTAAAAAATAAAATAAATAAAATATGGCTTCATGTTTGCAGTATGATTTCTTGGAGTATGATTTCTTGCAGTATGATTTCTCGTAGTATGGCTTCTTATAGTAATAAGCATCAGCAGCACCACACTTTTCAAAGTAAAAACAATAATATTTATTGATTGATTTTTGATTGGATTATTAGATAATAATCTACCTTTCTAATTCGGCATCATCAGTCGTTATTTTCGATGTCTTTTATATTTATTTCATTTTTTTTTAATGAATGTTACAATTACGAATTACGAATTATGAATACAAATGTAATTAAAAGTTTTTTTTGAAGCCTTCTTCCCTTATTAATCTTTTGTCGAATTTTTGAATTTAGCCACTAATCTGGTTTCTTTACAGCACCCCTAAAGATAAATAATTTATATAATAGTAAAGATTTTATAAAAAAAATATATATGTAAATTCGATAGGTCGGTTGTCATCAAGTACTTTAAACAATTAATTGCAGCGTCTGTCATACCGAGTTTACATGTACTATTAGATAAATCTGATTATAATACAAAAAGCACAATTAGTAATGATAATAGTAACAAAAATGATGACAATAATGAGAAAACCAATTTTTCATCAAATAATGAATTAAAAAATGATGAGAAAGTTGAAGGCGGCAAAAAGCTTAAAAAATCATTAATTTATTTGGCATGCGTTTCTTTTTCTCATTTGTGTTGTTGATTTTCCAAAGGATTAATAAAGGATTACCTCATCCAAGTAATAATAATACTGAGGCCATTCAGAAATGGAACTTTAAGGGAAAAGCTGTGGTCTCTAGAGCTCACAGGAATTAGTGATTCTATTTAAAATTTTCTCTTCCCGATTGTATGCCATTTCTGAAAAATAAATTGAATTATATCAAGTCTAGGTGTTAGTTTTAATAGAACCATGCAAGTGCTGTTTTCGCAGTATTTGATAGAATCCCTAACATAATATAGGTTTAACAGGTTTGTTCTAATTTTTCGTTTGTTTTCATGATTGTTGTATACCTAAATATGATTGATTAATTTTAATAACCGTGATTTTGAAATTTTTATTTTTAAAAACTAGATTGATTATCTGTAATAAATTCATTAATTTCAAATTCGGGAAAATAATTGTTATTATAATATTTTTGAGAAATATAGTGGAACGGAAAAAAAGTCTAAAAATTTAATTTTTTTAAATTTCCTTCGCTGTGATCAACGTTACACGGTTCATATAAATCTTGATTTTCCCTAAAATTTTCTAAATTTGGTAAAACCTAAATTATTTTGTCACATTTTATACCGTAATAGTAAAGTACGGTGCAGATCATCTATAATCATTAACAATTGGTCAACTTCAAAACACTACACAAAAAAAAATTATATCATTCTAAAAAATCTAACTGATAAGTTTTATTGTTCATGACTCAAGCTTCAAAACTTATCAACTGGTTTTTTCTTAAACTGAAAACTTAAATTCCAAAGAGTGCAGTATAATATACCACTACAAAAATAGTGAAAATTTGAAGATGACCAAAATTTTTTAAAAGAACTTATGTAAATATAAACAGATAAAATTAAAACCAAATTGGTTGAGGCTGCTGTATTGAAGTTTCAACAAAAACGATTTCACTAAAAATAGTTGGAATCAATACAATGGTTCATTTCCTTTTTTAGTTTATGGGTGATTGATTAATAATATTCAAAAAAAAAACTGGTATTTCTGAAGCATCACTGATTGTAAAAATCTCCTATTCTTCCTTCTCAAGAGCTAATGATCAAAAACTAGCAATGAGAAGTGATCAATTTTCTTTTTTCAAATTTGGTTTTTTGGGAAGGAAATTTTTTCTTATTCACAGATCAATAATCTTTTCAATGGATGTATAATGATACATTTATGATAAAGACATTTTTTTTACAATGATTTCAATATATTTGCATTTTACAATCATGAAATCTTTGTGAATTGGATCTTTTCTATCAATGTATACATTTACAATAAATATTTTTTACATGGTATTAGCCATTAGGTCTTAATGTTGATGTTAATGTTAATATATTTATTGTTATTATAAATCTAAAGAAAAATAATCTAACACAGTCAAATGAAACTATGGAATGTAATTAGCATTAGTAATTTTGGCATAATGAATTTTAAATGCAATTTTTCTTATTATCTTAACAAATTTTATATATTTATATAGTGCAAGTCACTTAGTCCCACAACTTTCTGCGCCATGCTGCCAATTTTGAGAAAAAGTTTCCAATCAAAATGCAATAAAAATTTTACAGTCACATGATTTTTGAAAATTGTCAAGTGCTAAATAAATATATTAAAATTTTTCTTTTACATTTATTCTTATATATACATATGTAAATGATGATTAGAACAATAAACAACAATAATAATGATTATAGTGATGTTATTAAATATTAGTTAAAATAAAAGAGTAATTTATATAAACTATTGAATGATTGATAAAACCTTTGTTAGTATATTTTGTTCATAGTTCTTGCTTGTCCTTAAGGCTTACTTCAATTACTCCTACACAAAATATTAAATAATTGATAAACATTCATCAGAATATTTTGCAAATTGCATATTTTTTTGATTAATGCAATAGTCTATTTATTAGATTTAAAATAAAATGAACTTAGCTGTTCTTTGTATTTTTTTTTAATAATAAAGATAATTCTCTTCCCGTTCATCTGGAAAATTCACGTGACAAAAGATCTGTAATATAAGGGAAATTTTTCAAATTTTTATTTTGTTTCAATTTGTCTATTTTTGATATTAGCTTTTTTGTTGTAACACGTCATTTTAGGGCTAAACATAATAAATTCGGTAAACTTGTGCAACTTTGAAGCTCAAATTCTCCACAACAACATGACATGAAATTGTGATTTTGTAGAGGAAGGTCTTGGCTTCAAATACATGATTTATTTTGAGGTGTTGCATTTCCATTTTTGGAGAATTTGAAAATCTACATGACCAATAAAAAGTTGTGGGACTAAGTGACTTGCATCATATATGCAAAATAAATTTTAAAAGTTCGTAATGCGGATATTATAATTCGTAAAAATTGTAAACAAAATTTTATTGTTATTACCTTTAGTAGCAAAGTTTACAATGCATCGATTTATTAATGTCATTCATTATATCTCAACCATAGAAATATAGTTGACTTTTTATTTTTAGATTTGTTGGATGATTTATGTATATATAATTGTTTTATCAATATTATCATCATAAATATTTTTTCAAAAATTAAATTATGCATACAAAATTTCCACTTCTACTATCTCCTTTTTATCAATGTCGCTATGTTTTTCACAAGGAATAGAATCAGCCTTAAAATAATTTAATATTGACATTTTTGTTATGGTGGATTGTATGATAATGTTTCCAAAATCTAATCGTTAAGATTAGTATGAGTACATTCCAGATGTTTAATTATCATTATCATCATCGTCATCCTATTCATCATTTTATTCATCATTTTATTCATCTTCTTCTTCACCTTCCTCATCTTCTTCATTTCATCAGTATTATCCCCTCGCTCTCATTATAATCAGTATTCTTTATTTTTTTGGATTTTGTAATTTATAAACTGATTTTGCAAACGGTAGTTCTAGTTCTTATCCAGTTTTTTGAAATTCGGTCTAGGAAATTATTAATAGACTGACGAATTACTCTTTGAATTTGTTGTAATTGTTATTGATGGCGTTGATGATGATGATAATGATGATAGTGAAGATAATTCATTGCTGTTATTATTGTTGTTGTTATTATTTGTATTAAGAAAAAATGAGCTGGTACTAGCTGGCATCTTCTTAAATGTTCTTTGCATCTTCCACTTGATTCATATACACAGTAAATCTCGGTTTAAAGAATAGTTTGGGGGAGAATTTTCCAAAAATACGTTAAACCAAGATATCCGCTACATCGAGAAGGTTTTTATTAAGGTTTATTATGGAACCGTTCTTTGAATTTTACCTGTAAAACCGAGTTTTTTAATTAGTATCCAAATCGAGATTCACTGTGTAATTCATGATTACAATATTTACTTCTTGGCTTCTTGGCTGTAACTATACAAGTTTCGTTATGCATGAATATAATTTGAAATTCAAATTAGCCAATCAGAGTTTTGTATCCAACGCCCCAAAATTTTTAATAATAATAAACTTCGAATTCACATGACTTTGATTTTGACTCCAACCGTTGTCCGACTATTTGTCACATCAATTTGATCATTAACATTAATAAGTAAAAATAGAAATTCCGAACCGTGTAACCAATCAGATATTTAAAATACAGTGTTTCAAAAAAAATTGCAAATTCATTTTGAAAATTTTTTTTTGAATGATAAAAATGATTTAATAACTTGATTATGTGATAAACAATCCTTGAAAGTATTTATCACATTGTTTGTCTTTATTTTTTGATGTACAAACTTTGTAAAAGATGATTATTGCAAAATTAGAAGCACAACATAAAACAATTTTACATTTTTGGATGAATGGTATCCATTCATCAAAAGAAATATCAAAAATAACCTTTGTACTATCCAAAGAAATTAAAAGAGATAGGCACTATCAAACATAAAGACGGAAATGGTCATCCATACAGAGGTACACGAACTTTTGCATGTTCTATTGAGCAAGTTGTTTGCCACAATAGTGCTGTTTCAACACAAAAATTTGTCAATAAAACTTTGAGAAATGCATAGTGCATCAATTTCACATCCTACTGTATGGAGACATATTAAAAAAAAGATTATAAGAGTTCTGTGCCTGTTGGAACACTGATGTTAACAGCTCACCATATTGAAACAAGCATGGAATGGGCACAATCTCATATGAATGATTATTGGAGCCATACAATTTTTACTGATGAAATGGCCTTTGACTTGTTTCATAATAAAATTAGAGATGGCATAAAAATGGGCAAAGACCAATTCAAAGATTACCAAAAGATCATCAAAAAGTAATGGTCTGGGGTGGCATTTTGTTAAAAGGCAAAATATCATTATTTTGCTTTACCAATATTATATTATGGATGGACCTTATTACATTAACATATTGGAGACTCAGCTTTTACCTGCGGCACAGAGATTGTACAGTAGAAACTGGTGTTTACAACAGGATAATGATCTAAAGCACACATCACATGTTGCAAAAACTTTTATTGATGAAAAAAGAATTCATGCAATGGCCTGGTCATCCAACAGTCCTGACCTTAATCCCATTTAGAACATGTGGTATATCATAAAAAATGATGTCGAAAAAAGAATGCCAAGGAATGTTGATTAATTGAAGAAATTCATGGTTGAAGAATGGGAAAAAATTCCTCAGGAAACAGTCAAAAATATTATTATGACCATGAAACAGAGATGCAAATCAATCTTAGAAAAAAAAAGGGATATAATTTCTTATTAAATTTTTTTTATTTAATAAAGTATTCATTAGACTTAAATGAACATAATTTTATTTATTTATTTGGTATAATTGTTGCAGTATATGATTTTTTGTGCATGCCATTTTTTTTTGAAACACACTGTATTCCATTCATTACATCAAAAAAAAAGTGCCATTATAGCTTTCTCTCTTTCACAGGCTCTCTATGCAAAGCCATAGTTATTCAAAAACAGCATTACTTTTCACTTCAAAACTAAAATTTTCACCAATATTCTTTTATAAACTTGATGAGCATCAGGAAATTTTTTCTGATGCGGATTTACATAATTATTATACTATATATTTACATAAGTTTATGGTGGCCACATAATAAATATATGCAAAAATCATACAAAAATTATGCAATTATTACATTGAGTGCAAATATTACATAATTTTTTATGCAAATATTACAACTTTACATATTAAAATTTATGGATGTAATATTACAGTGGGGAAAATTTCCTGGTGGAGTGGTCAAGAACAGTGTATAAAATTCAATGCCCGCAATGCCCGGGTGTAACGTCATACATTAGTAATTTCCTGCAGATAGTTTCTAAATTTGTGCTAGTTACACACCGAAATTTATGCACTGATCAAGAATATGGAAAATATTTGGGTGTAGCTAGCTTTATGCAGATTGTCAAATTTCAGAAAAAATTAAGAGTGACTGGGCAATGAGAAAATTTGAGCAGGAGCAATGGCGTGCGTCACGTTACACGCAGAATATAAAATTCAAGCAGATCTTTTAAGTCGCGTAACATCAAACCGTGTAACTAAATGCATCTCTAAAAAAACAGCTGGAAAAATTCTTCCGAATTTTTTTTTTCATATCTTTTTGGCTACATGATCCGAAATATCTGCTTGAATTTTATACTCTGGTTACATAGAATACTGGTGACTAAAAAATTGTGCAGAGAAGCATAATTAAAAATATTTACAATACCAATATAGTCAAAGCTCTCTTTACTGACTCCAGACCAAGAAATATCATTTGTGATAGAGAGCATTTATTATAGAGAAAGCATCAGTTGTCACATGATCATCAATAATGAAATCCATATAAGTTATTGGCTGCAACCATGTATGATTACATGTTGTCCACACATATATGTATTCACAAAAATATATAACAATCCTTTTTTTAAAAATATAAAAATTATTTTTATTTATTAAGTTTTTGATTTTCATATAATCATCAATTTTTGTTTACTCTTTGAATTAAATTCGATATTTTTTATTGATCTCAATTCATTATTTGTTAATTGTGATTGTCTGATTGTTGTTCTTTATGTAATATGGGTGAGGCATCAGTTCATTTATATCATTATTAACATCATTATTATTAGAAAACAATGATTAATCAATACTAATAAAATTTTAAGAGTACACAACCAAATATGTACACTGTTTGGTATAGAGAGTGCCATCTATATATAAATTTGAAAGGAATTTCCCAAAGGCAGTTCATTATACAGGATAGAGAATTTAATTATAAAGTTCATTATACAGAGCAAATTATTAATGACCAAAATCTTGGCTCATTATACAATGCAAGATACTTAGTCCCTACAACTTTTATTGGACTTGCAGATCTTTTAACTCCTCCAAAAATGGAAAAAAATGTAATTCTGAAGCTAAGACATTTCTCTACAAAATTACATCTTCATT